ACATCTTTTTGTTAAAATCGGGGTTACCAATATGCTTTGCGACGGAGGAGAAACTCCAGAGTGCGTGAGCAATTTCCATTTTCTAGATTTCGCCCCTTGCTGGGCTTCGTTGTAGAGGATGCCTCCGTATATTGTGATAGTGCCCTCTCTTCTGGATTGTGAATAGTGCTTGAAACTCTTTCAAGTTAGCACATTGGAGAAAGTTCCATGACCTTAATGGACTTGACATCATTCATGGATATTCATGAACCCTGGGCTTTTCAGGAGCTCTGTATATTTTAAAAAATTCAACTTGGTTCGTTACCATACGATCTGAACCTGCAATTGTTTCCCAGGTGTTGATCCAATGATCAATTCACATTGATTCGCCAATCAAGAGTAACAAATGTTTCAGCTAAAATCATCGATTTTCTACAGTACGCCATGGTTGGGCGGTGGTTTTTGGCATCGAACACCCCAAGGCACATTAATCAAGTTTCAATGAATATCGATTGACATTTGCTAATCGTTTAAGAACGTTAGTTGACGAAAGTTTTGCCACAACTCAGCATTCTTGTGATAACTTTCGCAACGCGAACTGCGGCGTAAAACAGCAGTTATCCAATAAAAACAAGTCAAAATGGTAACATCTAGTAAAGCTTTCAGCCTTGCGGTTGAATGCCGCTAACCGGTTCATCACGTTATACGTGTGAATGCTGATAAGCTATGGTAATTTACCATCGAAGCTGAGTTGGGTGAAATGGTGCCCCGGTGGTGTAACTGGTAGCACAATTGCCCGGAAAGCAAGAGATCCGGGTACGAATCCCGGCTGGGCGAATGTTTTGCCCAAAACAACATCTTGTGATAAACATCGACAGATTTGATGTGGCACCGGTTCCGAGTATACGGTAGGATCGAATCGACCTTTACTGATACCTTCGTTCCCATTGAGCGATGCTCATCTGTGGAAGCACCTTGAAGCATTCCACAACCCTAGCACTCCTTGAAGGGATGTTTGTCCATACGTCGGAAGGAAATTTTGAGGACTGGGGGGTTAAAATAAAGCTATGGATGCCAAAAAGTTGAGGGCCATGGTCTTCAATTAATATTGCGATCAGAACTCACAAGATCATTTTACATTCTTTCAGCGCCACATTCTTCATTTACCCGCCTGCGGCCACACAAGACGATAAGAAGAGGGTGTGCAACGAGCATGTGCAACGCATTTGCGTCATAATTCACCACCGAGACCCATCGTGGTACGGATAAATTTCCATTCGATTTCGAGATGCGAAGGAGGTGAAAACGTTTTTGCCGGCGTCACCAATCGCCTCTGAAACGATTCACATAGACCACCCACAGTGTTCAAGGAAAAGAACGGCGAATAAGGCGGCGGCGACGGGAACGCCTCAGATTGGCTTGAAGAAACGAGGGAACCTGTAACAGATCCGGACGAATTTCGAAGGCCAGCCAAAGAAAATGCTTAGAAATGATTGATTTCGGGACAGACTCTTATGGAAAGACATTGGAATAGTTACAGTAATGGTTGCTAATTACTTCTCTCATACGGTCTCGCGAAACCCGCCACAAGCATTTCGGGGACTGAAAAATTGCGGTATCATCAGTATTGAGATAAATCAGTCTGTTCCACAAAAAAAGGGAGAAGGGGAGGGGAGCGAAGCGGAAAATTTTTTTCCATCAGATGTAAAACTTAACGAATCACACCTTGCAAAGCTCGAAACGGGTGTTCCCAGCTGAAACTTGAGGCAAAGTTAGATTCACTAAAAATTTTATAATTTCTCCTGCACGGGCGACATCGGAAGACTTGCCACGGTAACATGGTACAATGTTCGAGCTGAACAGGGCCGCCGACTGAACCATTGAAGCCTTGTCGGAAGTTCTGGTAAGTAGTGGTCTAGCACAGCAAGGGAAAGCCTCTTTAGGATCACCTCATCAGTGATTGAAGAAATCAAGTTGCAGCTTCATGATGGAGAGATTACGGTAGGCCTCAGCGAGGTCAGCGGCGGCGGAGGTCTTGATATTCTGAAGCCAGCCAGCTTAGCGAACAAGAGCTTAGTAAGTAAGAGCTTCCTTATAAGGAAAGGGATTATTTCAGGAATATTTTGTTGAGATTTTAAGATTTTTATCAATAATCGGCAAAGGTTTACTCATGTGCGTCATGGGAAAAGTTTTTGTGACACATGTCCTCCAGGCTCCCTGCCCTCCGCGAGCCTATTCAAAGAGCTCCTTATGCTGTCTCCTTATCCAACGACCTTCTCGCACAACATGGGTGGTCTATGGGAATTGCCTCAAAGCCGATTGGTTTATATACGTCGTAGCCGACTCAATTTACGAGACACTCGGCACTCATTTCTTGATAAAAAAATGAATGCTGATCAGGTATGGCCTCTTGCAGTTAATAGAAGCAATTTAAGTTTGTTTAACTTTTTAAAGGCATTAAAGGTGAAAATGTGCTAAGGAAAGCCACCCTATCCAAGTGAAGTGGAGTTGCGGAAAGAAACTCATATCTAGTCAGAATAAAGTTGCGGGAAGGTACTCATATCTAGTCAGAATAAAGTTGCGGGAAGGTACTCATATCCTAT